AAGCATCAAAATTCCTCTCTCGGTGGGTAGAACCTCGACTCCTGATCTCATACCTGAGTCCATTCTTGAACCTCAAGCATCGATCTGTCTCAGTGTCCACAAGTCCAGGAGCATAACGGCTCAATCGGATGAACTCAACCTTGTAATCCATAACAGACATATTACCCTGCTCCAGATTTTGAAACTCCTGGCGTCGCTCCTGCAGATATCTCTCTCCGATGAAGCGACTCCGGAAGCGCATCTTGAAAAGATCCCATGTTAATTGGTTCCTCGAAATACTACCAGAAATGGATTGCCACCATCTGAAGCTTTCTTTCTTCAACATAGTTAGGGCCCCTTTAACTTTTGCTCAGGTCTGAGGTCCATCTCATCCATAATCCTCTCTGTGTCCTCCAGCCAATACTCAGCGTCTGTCAGAGGCCCACCAGTAATACCCTCGAATGGAACTACACCAGCAGCAACCAGAGAATTTAAAATCTCCACTGCAGTCATGATAGTAGGGGCTCTAGCAGCTCTCTGAAACATGCGGAAGATAGCTCTATTAATGGCATCTTCATTCATCTCAGTATCCTCATCTTCAATGACGGAAGGGTCTCTCACGGGAGTAAATTGATCATCATGAGAAAGAGTCGGATCTACTTGCGGAACAGGAGGATCACGTGGTGACATCGGATCGTCTATCGTAACAGAAGGTCGAGTGACTCGCCCTCGACCACGGCCACGTCCTGTCCTACGACCTCTAGCAGCACTCATCGTTGGATCTATAAGGCTCTACAGAAAGAGTTTAAAACATATGTCAAATTAGCATCAGGGATCTCGAGAAAACTTAAAATCATAAAATAAGGTGACACGTTTTTTTTATTCAAAATTTCTTTAAAATTCAAAGTTTAGGACCCATATACAGTCTGAGTGTTTAAAACCGAAGGCTCTGATACCACCAAATGTAACCCTCCAGACCCGGTCTGTAAGTTAGACCCAAACCTAAATGGTCACATATCCCATTCAGAGTTTTTTTTTTATAAAAAAAACATCTTATAATACATTATATATAATATAGAACAAAATATTGATAATACAGATATATCCAAAACGATAGCAAATATATGTCACCAAACATAACCGAAAAACATATAGAGATATTTGTTCGTACAAAATAAGTAGTAGGTCTCTCCTGATGCCAAATCTGCTAGCTTACGATCTGCTGTTATCTGAAAAAGGGGAAAACTACAGAATGAGCTAAAACGCTCAGTGTGTTCCATACAGTGTATATAAAAACGTACTGATAAAATATTCCAGTAAAGTCGGTTTATGCAATCATGTCGTTAAAAAAAATATGAACACTACCCCAACCCATCACATCAGAATGTGTAGGTTCCCCAAAACCATACACCCAGCCCACACATCAAATAAGGCCTTGAGCACAAAGCCAAGGAACCTGCGGATATACTTCCTTCAACAATACCCCTCCAATGATTGTTCATGAATGTATTTGAATGAAAACAATGATTAATTCTTTAAAATGTAAAAGTGTTCATGCTTAAAAATCATATACAGAAATACGGAAATCAGAAGACAAATCGGTAGTATACAGAATTTCAGATATCGAATAATCAATATTCAAAACATCGGTATAAAATACCGTAACCAGAAATCATATCAGAAATACACGGTAAATCAGATATCGAATACATAATATTCAGATATATATTTTAAAACAGAAATAATTAACACTGTCGGGAAACACACCTGTAACAGTCTGAGAAATCAGATAGGGAAGCTTTTTACTGGTTTTGTCGATCACTCTCTGCTGAAGCGCTAGATCCTACTAATTGAAAAAATTCATATTGGAAACCTAATATAATAATCTAAATATTATTTAAATAATATACGGAAACCTACGGGTAATTCTCGTAGTACGCAGTTCAGGCTGATCTAACGAACGGGCAACACCGGACCTAATTGATCCTTGCTCAGGTGAAACACGAGTACCTTCATAAAATATTTTTATTGAATCAATTCCTTAACCAAATCTCAAATAAATAATCAAAATATTGAAATATTAAGCCTTTTGGGTTTACAAGCTCGATTCAGGAATTTCGGGCCATAATTTGGCAAAACGGACTTCGAAATCAGATTCAGGATGTCAAAAAACATAAAGTATGACCTTCCAAAATTCTGAATTCTTGGTCAAAATCAAAGTCAACGGGTTTGACTGACGATTCGGAGACTTTCGAGTTTGAAGTTTATGAAACCGACCCTAAAAATGGATTCGGAACGTCAAAAATGTCAGGATAGGTATTCTCAAAAAAGATTAACGGTCAACGGTCAACGGGTCGGGTCAAAACCGGTCAAACCAGTCAAGCATTGAAATTAACCGGTCAAATCGGTCATTTAGAGCTTACCCACGTGCAGTGGCGGCGCGTGGGATCGTTTCTGGCAGCGTAAAATTCACGAAAAAATTTCTAAAAATTATTTTAAGCGATTTCGAGATACTTACAAAGGTTGGTTCAAATTTTTGAACGGCGGAGAGCTCGATTTCATCAAATCGGAAATTTTGACCGCTTCACCTCCCCACGCGCCACCGTCGACGGAGACCGAGGATGAAACCGGCGGACTCGAAACGGCACAAAGAACACGATGGTGCGGGAGGTGTCGTAAACGGAGCAACGATCGATGATGAATCTAAGATTTTCTCGGCGATTGACCTAAAACGAACGTCGAGACTTTGACTGGAGATTCCCGGTGTTTGGCAGCGTTTCACCTCAATTAATTTAAGGGAATTGTTCCTCACTCGATAACGAACACGATGGTTGTTTTAAAACGACGATCGGAATTCGGACGACGTCGGGATCGTAATCGGAAGTTGAGGTTGGGGAAGGGAGTTTAGGCTCAATTTAGGAGCAATTGGTTTCTGATTTTTCAGAAACCAATTGCCGTATATAATACCAAACTTCACCAACTTTTCTTGGGTAAATTCAGGGCTTGGTCCCTGAATTTTATTTAACTCTAAAACAAGCTATAAATTTTTAAAATCTTTTAATTTAGCCCCCAAATTTCATCAAATTACTTAATTAAAACCTCAAATTACAAATATATTTTTTTTTTCAAATTTCCGGGTTGTTACATTCATAGTCAGCATTTGGACACATGAAATGACAACAACAACACATGAAAATTGAAAACTAGCAATATGAATCAACAATCTGAATACCTAGTATCATAAAGATTTTGATATCGGGGTCGGTTAATCAATACCCCTTGTTATGCTATGGCCTAAAAGCTAAACCAGTAATCTTTGAAACCGAAGAAATGAACTAGCTTCGAGAACAAATCGACCTCCTTCCCTCGTCTAAACACCAAAGCAGAGAACCAAGAAGCCAAACCAACCCCTAACACGGCCAAAGGCCTCCGACTCTTCGGCTACCTCGCCTCCTCGACGACGGACGATGGACGACTAAGGTAAACGAACCACTCTTCTCTCTTTTACTCTCTCTGGTTTGGTTCGAAAAACCCCAAGAAAAATTAGCACTCAAATGTAAAAAAACCAACATTTTTCCTTATATTGCTTCCTTTCCGTTTTTTTAATCCCGGGGGGCCGAACCCCTTACAAAATATTATTGTGAGTTTTTATAATACCCCTGTTACAGACGAAAATCCAAAGGCTACATTTTTACAATTTCATTTTGTTTGTTTGTCTGCATGCGTGGCTGCTGATGAGCATTCGGGGGACCACTTGGGTTGCATGAGCGGGCTGTTAGGAGGACCGACTGATGTGGAGAAGTGCCACGGAAGCTGCTGCAGTACCTGGCATTGGGGGCAGCCTACTATCCTACTTCTACTTATTCCATTACATATGGGAATAGGTTCAGCGAAATAGACTGATGTGGAGAAGTGCCTGGTGTAGGGGACCAGCGGTGCACATTGTTGATGAAGCATTCGAGACCACCTTGCTTGGAGGCTTACTGGCGTAGAGGGACCACGGTTGAGGCCACTATTTGGGACCACTTTACATGACCATGGGAGGCGGCGGCAGGGCTGCGAGGGTTCATTGGCAACCCTAGTATTTTGGGTTTGTTGAAAGTACAAATGGACCCTAATTAATTGGGCCTGATTGGTGTAATTGGGATTGGGCTTTGAATTTAAAAACTTGGACTGTAGTTTGGACATTAATTTGAGTTTTGGGTTTGGTGGGTCATGCAAATGAGTTAATATTTGCAATTTGGGTGGCTATTTAAAATAAAATCTTGAACCTCAATTTGTCCACCAAGTATGAATCAGATCGAATTCAAACGTTTAACGCTCAAAATTCTTCTTCGATCAATTAATATCCATTTTTAAATTCTCAGACAAAATTAGGGTATTACATAAATTTAGGAGTATTGTAAGCAATTGGGATATTAAAAATTTGATGAGTAGTTTAGAATCATAATTTGAAGGCTCGTAATACAAATAACTCAGTTTAGAAAGATTATCGTTAGTAAATAAGGCAATTTTTTCTTCTATAATAGAATAATGGTTTTTTATTCTAAACTACAATAGAATATTCGTATACATTAATCACATCCCATGCTAATAAAATTAATTTCATATTTGAAAAAAATAGGTTAAATTATGGTTAAAATTAATTACATATTTGGATGAATTTGGGAATGAAATTAGAAGATCTAAAAGTTTGAGGACCGGTTTAGAATGATGGCCATAATTTGTGGATGACATTCCTAATGCTTACGAGCCTGTTGAAGGCCTAGTTCCAATTTGCTTCCATGCGGTTGTCTCTGAAATTATTATTACATTCCTTACCATTGAACGTCCCATGCAAGAAAACATCCTGGACTTTCTCTTCGTTATTCACAGTCTCCAAGTAACGCAAAAGAAATCAAATTCGAAAATCGTATAGCTGTTTTCTAGAAAGGTCTCAAATTTTCCACTGGAAACCATTGGCTTTCGATTTTGAAATTCAGTGAATCATTGCTGAGGTAATAGTTCCGGGAGGAGGATCAATGGCGGTTCCAACGGCGGTGATGTTAACGGCGTCGATGGTTTCGTTGTACGTCGGGGATTTGCATCCCGTTATCACTGACGGGACACTCTTCAATGCTTTCAATTCGTTCAAAGGAATATCCTCTGTCCGTGTTTGTGGAGATTCATCCACAGGAAGGTCTCTTTGTTATGGCTATGTTAACTTCAGTTCTCTCGAGGATGGTGCGTAAGATTTGTTTTTTTTAAAAATAATTTTTTCAATATATTCACTGCTTTTCGTTTGATTTATGTTTCGTGTTTGATCTTTCAATATGTTCTGAGAGTGTTCGAAAAAAGTAATTTAAGAAAATTCAGTCTTTTTGAGTTAACTTTTATGTATGTCCATGTTTCTCTGCTATAATATGACCAGCACATTATGCAATGGAGAAGATGAATCACAGTTCGATTCATGGGAAAATGATTAGGGTGGCATGGTCACTTCGAGATCCTGATGCAAGAAAGAGTGGAGTTGGAAACGTGTTTGTCAAGGTACAAAACAAACCCTTTTTGTTCTTTTAACTGATATAATCTGAAATTCATTGGATTTATTGTACTTTTCTTTTCAGAATCTAAGTGAATCAATCGATAGTGTGGGGTTGCAAGAGTTGTTTCAGAGGTTTGGGAATGTAATATCCTGCAAAGCTGCAACATTTGAGGATGGGAAAAGCAAATGTTATAGATTTGTTCAATTTGAATCTGAAGAATCTGCAACTGCTGCTATTGAGAAGCTTGATAACAACATGATTGGTGATAAACAAGTGTAATATGAATTTTCCTTTAAAATATTTTTCGTTTCACTTATCTGCTAATAAAATGAATGGTTTCAGAAGTTTAATTTGTCTCTTTGGTCCCAGATTTGTTGGGAAATTTATGAAAACGTGTGACAGGATTTTGCCAAGTCCTGATGTAAATATACAAATCTGTAAATTTAATAGGGAAAATTGCCTCCCTGGCTGTAGCAAGGGATGAAAATGGTGCCTCGAGAGGTTTCGGCTTTGTGAACTTCGAATGTCCCGATGATGCCAAGCGGGCAATGCAGTCAATGAAAGGATCAAAACTTGGTAGGCTTTCTTTTACTATGTTTCACGAACATGATATTTCAATGATATTTTTTCTGATCCAATATTTTTGGCCAAATATATTCAATCATAATTCAAAGAAAAATATAAATTCAATTAAAATCAAATCATTAGAATCATTTCTAATTTTCTCAAATGTGTATTCAATGGCCCCAATACGATCATAAGTTCATGTTTCCCTAGGAGGAGGATGCTGATGGTGGTGACATTTTCTTTGACCGGAGCAAAGTAGAAGACGATGGCAGTGAGTATGGCAATACATTATTGTTTTTAAATCTACAATACTACAATTCCGGGAAGAACCACAAATTGAATCATTAATCTGATATCAAAGGTGAAGCTAATTAGATTTGCTTTGCTTTTGCTGTTTTGTAATTCACCATCATTGTATTATTAGGGAAACCACGGTAGATGCTGGGCATCTTTCTTTTATGATTTCTACACAGTGAGTTGAGAAGTAGCTTCGAAATTTAAGTGCAAATTTGATTTAATTTCAACCATTTTGAAGGTTTTAATTATGTTTTTTCAGCTGTAGGTACTGGTTGATCATGGCTTGAACTGAAGTTACTTCCTTAGGCTTGTAAAGTTATTATCCATTCCTCTGGCTGCAATTACTCAGATGACTTTGGAAATCAAAGTTTACCTTCTTCTCTATAAAGCAATGACTGGGACACTCTTAACTTTGATTTCATTCTCATAATTGAAGCAATGCTTGTCAAATGTGGGACTTCATAATTAATGTTTAATTGGCAAGTCTCCCTCTATCATTTTTCTTATACAAGAAGTTAATGTTCTCTTAATATATATAGATTGATTGATGTGAAACGTAGAAAGTGATGGGAAGTAGAGCAAGTATGACATGACTTGGTTATGGGGGAAAAATATCAACCATAGAAGCTAGCCCCGAGTATACGCATTGAACTAAAGCGTGGAAAATGCAAATCATAGCCAGTACCCACATGACTTTGAAAGAAAACTTGGACCAATTGACGGGAGATAGAATAGGATAATATCAGAGTTTGAGAACTATTATTTCTTGTTGATGAACAAAGCCTTCTCAAATCTGATCGAGACACCGGACTTTACAATAGCCCCAAATCTGGAAATTTTGATATTGGAAGGTTGTACAAGAATAGTAGATGTCCATCCATCAGTCGGAGTTCTTACGAGGCTTAAACTTCTGAATTTAAGAAGCTGCACAAGTCTTAGGAATCTTCCAACCAAAATTGGAATAGAATCTCTTGAAACATTAATCCTAAAAGATTGTAGAAACCTTATTAGTCTCCCAAGCAGCATTGGTGGGTGTAAATGTCTAAAAACTCTTGATCTTTCTGGCTTCTATAAAGTTGAAAATTTGCCAGAGAATTTGCAGCAAGTAGAGTTGTTGGAAGAGCTCGACTTAAGTGAAACAGCCATAGCAAAACTACCATCCTTCATTTTTCAACTTAAAAATCTTAAAGTTTTGTCTTTGAATAGGCTCAAGGGACCATCATCTAATATAGGACCAAATCTAACTTCTCTTTTCCAGGTATCATCTAATATAGAGTCTGTGCCTCTGATGTTACATTCATTGTCAGGTTTGAGATCATTAAGAGAGCTGAAACTAAGGAACTGCAATTTACATGAAGGAGATATTCCTAGTGATATTTCTTGTTTATCCTCTCTGGAAAAACTTGAGCTTGGCGGCAACAGTTTCATCAGCATACCTGTGCTTGGTACTGGACTTTCCAGGCTTCAATATCTTGGATTGTCAAATTGCAGGGAGCTTAAATCGTTTCCTAAACCTGGTGCTTCTCGAGAACTATTTGCAACTCCATCAAAGGTTTGCAACGCAGTGGATTGGACACAGTTTTCTGGCCTTCACTGCTACAGATTGGTTGAGAATATCAATGCATTAACATTGCTGAAATTCCATCTTAAGGTCGATTTATCATTCTTTCGTATTTACCAAATCTCGTTTTTAAAGAATTATATACTTAGTTACCAAACAACATAAGTTTTATTTTGCAGCGAGTTGCATATTTAAAAAAATTTTTGATGCTGTTATACCTGGAGGTGAAATATCAAAATGGTTCAGCCATAAAACAGTTGACTCTTCAATCAAGATACCACTGCCTAACAATATTCAGAATGATGGTCAATGGATCGGAGTTGCTTTCTGCTGTATTTTTGTCAACGATGACGCTTCAAGGAATGAGGAACTCACATGTGAAGTTGTTATCCATCATAAGAATTCCAGAAAAGATGGTTTCACTACATGGCCGAATGTACTCAAACAATGGGGACCATGCATGGCTTCACTACAAAAATAATATGATCGCTCAAACAATGCAAGTCTAGAACCATGACCTAAGAAAATATGAGAGAACAAAAATAAACAACTTAACTACCATGCATGCCAAAACGTCATTCATATTTACCCGAGTTTGGATAACGACGTGATCGCTCTCTTCTTAACACAAAAACAATGGGGGGCCATGCATGGCTGCACCACATTTCAAAAAGTGAAATGGCATGCTTTATCGACAACTACAAAAGGCCTTTGTGAGGTGAATCCCTATCACATGGGGTTGATCAATGCACGCCTAATACTATTACACAACATGTTCCTAACAACAAGTGGAATGTGAACCGATATTGTACATTACACTCTCAGAGAGTCAGAGATAGAATTCAAATTCGAATCTCAAACAAATATCATTGGAAGGGATAGCCACAAATCCTGAACATAGGAAAGATGTTATTGTAATACGATTTTTTGTTAGATTTTGTTGCTTTGTTCCTACTATCTAATCTAAACTTATTGCCAATAAGATTATTTATGATTTAACACAGATGCATGGATTTAATTTACGGTTGCAGTCACGTACTCGGTCGTGTTGTGTTTATTACGGTTACAGACATAACAAAAGTTATTATCATAATTGGCATCTATCCATTAAATTGCAGTTGTGATCCATCGTTATTGATGTGATTTTGTTTCACACTGTTATTTTCCATGATAGCAGTTTCGGCCGCCATCGCTACCGCTATATAACGGTTGTTGTTTCGCTACTCGACTGTTATTTGAATTTGTCCTCATGAGAGGAGAAAATGATCTTGAGGGAGGAAAATTAGATGATGTCCTCTTGAGAGGAAAAAATGATCTTTAATAAAAATGAAATAAGGATTCTAGGGAAAATCAATCTTAAGAAAGACTAGATTGATGTCTTTTAGATGAACAATCTTGAGAAATATGAAATTTGTTTCTCAAAAGCAATTATAAAAGTATCCTTATAAGAAGGGAAAACCCTTTTTTATTGCAATGCAATGATGAATGTATGATGCAAAGATGCAAATTCACGTGTCTTGTATGTTTATGTTGATGCATGTTTCCATGCAAATGATATTTGCAAAAATGTTGTTTTATTTCCTTTTTAGCTTCAAAGTGGAGAACTTGGTATTCCTTCACTTAGCCAATCTTGGCTAGAGCCTACTCCAATGTTAAAGAGGAAACTTGTCAAGTTAAGCAAGCGTTTTTTTTTGGAAAGACAATCTGATCAGCTTGTGTCATTAAGTCTTCTCTTTTGCTTTTGTTTCTTCATGAAAACTTTAGAAGAACTACTTTCTCTTGTTTCAGCCATATATATGATCCGACGCCTCTTGTCTCTTACCCAATTGTTTTATTAGAGGTTCTTCTTCAAGATTTTTCTATCGCATGAAGGGTTTGTTTTCAAAGTAAGCTCTTCTCATCTTTATATTCTTCCTCTGATACTCCTAGCAGCAATGTTTATTCTCAATACAATATTGCCTTGAATCTTGTTATTCCAACATGATTTGGGTCTTTGGCCATACCCCAATGTGGGTACCATAAGATCTTGAAATAATATATGCCTCATTTTTACCAAGACGGTCTTCTGCTTCTTGGTTGGTTATTGATGATATCGTAAAGAAGTATGAAAAATTACATTCTTGAGTCTTCTGATCTGTCAGACTTTATGGTTTTAAGGATCGAAGAATGCCTCCACTGACCTTGCATTTCATTTGAGGCATAATAAGCCTCACCAGTTTCAAGGATCTCTTATCATTCTTGAGCAATCATCTTGTTTATTTAACCCAAATCAAAACATCTTGAAAAATGCCTTTGACGGGGATTGAATAACTATCCTCATGAATTTAGCCCATATATCTTTACTCAACATACACTTTTACACGAGTGTCAAGGTTTTGAGCTACTTTAGATTCCTGCAATTTAAAAGATTAGTTCAAAGTAATACCAAGAAATCTTTTGTTTTATTTTGAACTATGTTAATCTACTTATAAGATGTTTGTAAATGAACAAAATTGGGGTTTTAAATGAGAGAATTAGAATTTTTACAAAGTCATGACAATCATGGAAATGATAAAAAATCAAGAAATAAAGTTAGATGCCTCAAGCATCACTAGCATGAATGTTCCTAAATCAATCAACTTGATATAATTTGGAGCACTGAGGTAAGCTTCTAATTAGAAGTTATCAAATATTGCCAAAATGTCTGTAGATGTAAAGTTCATCTCAAAATATCAGGCTCTTCAAAGTCAATCAACTTAATACAACCCCAGAGCGTAGAGGTGAGCTTATGTCTAAAGGAAATAAAAAATTGCCAAAATATTTACAGGCATGACACACATCCCAAAGTACCAGACACTTGAAAGGTTTTATTTTTCAGATGCCTAATATCAAAACACATTTAAGCCGCCATTTCAAATTTTCAATTCAAATCCTTACTTTGGTTTCAAGACGACCTTTGCAGATTCTCGTTTTTAACCCTTCTTTCAATTTCTTTTCTTTTCCTTCATTTTTCTTTCTTTCTTTTTCTTTCTTTTTTTCTTTTTATTTTTTCTTTCTTTTTATTTTTTCTTTCTTTCTTTTTTCTTTCTTTTTTCTTCTTTTCAACATGAATCTGAATTTATTGGATCACTCAATCGAAACTCCTCTGGAAACAACCTCTTTGATAATGAGTGGTTGTTTCCCAATTGGGAATCCATTTCTCACGAAAATCTTTATGAATTGAGCTCACGTCGTTTGCTTCTGAAACATCTGTACATGGCATATAGCTTTTAACCTCTTTTTCAACAGAGTTCAACTGATCACATCGTGCTCCAACTTTTTCTTAGATTTATTTTTGTCGAAACTTGAAGTAATGAAATCTCGACTGCGATGAGTAAGTCTACTTTTACTCCAATACCCAAGTGGAAATGGCATTGCACCTCATCATGGTACATACTGAAGTTTGATATGCATATATGACAAAGGATAATTTCTTGTGACAACTTCTCTATCTTCATGGTTGATAGACTACTGACAAGGAATTCCCATATGTTTTAAGCACTGACATCTTCTTTCCATGACTACTCTTATCCTCAAAGCGTAAGTTCTACCACATTGTGAGTGCAAAAGAGCTTTGGTCTGTTTGTGAAAGGGTAAAAGAATGTTAACATTGCCCCCAATTTCCCTTCTCAAAGCATTGACTACCCCATTAAAGCTTCTGGGATTCGTCACCTGCTTTAATTTCTTCTTCAGTAAATGTCATCACTCATTTTATCCGAGTGGTGACACGCACGTGACATTTCATATTATAGTATATAATATAATAAATAATGTGGGCATAATACATATAATATATCATATAGTGTCATTTTTGCATAATGTAGTTTGCATATTATATAGTTGCATATATTAAGTATTATAGTGTATTAAATAATAATAACATGTTATTAATTCATTTGGCATTGTATGTTATTAATTCATGTTGCATTGCATATTAATTCATGTTACATTAGGTGTTAAAGAATTAGTGTGTCATATTGCATATTGTATGGTTTATAAATAATAATCCATGTTAGGTTCATATTAGTGTTAGCCCATTTGTTTTGTTATAAATGAATAAATAGTAAAAACCCAAATAAAGAGTTGCATTTAGAAACAGTACATTACATAGGTTTCTTTTCCCACATAGTTAACCCACTTTCTTATTACAAATATATGCATTATAAATAAATAATAAAAAAACAAAAATGCATTAATGTTTATTTTCTTATGCAAGAAATTAATGTTTTCTTTAGTGTAGGTGGGAGTGGTTTATAAATGTCAATGGTGGGGCTCCATAATTGTGACCCTTCTGAGAGAATCCTCCGTACAATCCAGACTTCATTGAAAAGTCTCCTCTATCATTTTCTTATGCAAGAAATTAATGTTTTCTGAATATATTGGCTGAATAGGATAATGTCAAAGTTGGAAAACTGTTTATTTTCAACTCTACCTCTAGTTGATGTATCTTGATGGAGAGGTTGACTTACCAGAAAATTTGACGCCACCTGCTGCATTTCATGGGGGCGCAGAGGGAGTTGACGCCTTTGTGCATTCGTTCTCGTCCTCATCCTCATCCTCATTACCGTCATTGGATAATATGATTTCATATCCATTCTTGGAAAATGGTAATGCCAGTACTAGCTAGCTTCGCTTCTATTTCAAGCTCTCCACTTCCTGAGGACAAACTATATACTGTATTGTGTTTGAGACTATGAGCTTGTATTATATGCAAAACAGTGCAAAACCCTAATCAAAGGGAATAAAAGAAAGTGATTTCACTCACGAACATGATGTTTCAATGATATTTTTTCTGATCCAATTTTTTGGCCAAATATATTCAATCATAATTCAAAGAAAAATATAAATTCAATTAAAATCAAATCATTAGAATCATTTCAAATTTTCTCAAATGTGTATTCAATGGCCCCAATGCAATCATAAGTTCTTGTTACCCTAGGAGGAGGATGCTGAAGGTGGTGACATTTTCTTTGACCAGAGCAAAGTAGAAGACGATGGCAGTGCGTATGGCAATACATTGTTGTTTTTAAATCTACAATACTACAATTCCGGGAAGAACCACAAATCGAATCATTAATCTGATATCAAAGGTAAAGCTAATTATATTTGCTTTGCTTTTACTGTTTTGTAATTCACCATCATTGTATTATTAGGGAAACCACGGTAGATGCTGGGCATCTTTCTTTTATGATTTCTACACAGTGAGTTGTGAAGTGGCTTCGAAATTTAAGTGCAAATTTGATTTGAATTTCAACCATTTTGAAGGTTTTAATTATGTTTTTTCAGCTGTAGGTACTGGTTGATCATGGCTTGAACTGAAGTTACTTCCTTAGGCTTGTAAAGTTATTATCAATTCCTCTGGCTGCAATTACTCAGATGACTTTGGAAATCAAAGTTTACCTTCTTCTCCATAAAGAAATGACTGGGTAACTCTTAACTTTGATTTGGTTCTCATAATTGAAGCAATGCTTGTCAAATGTGGGACTTCATAATTAATGTTTAATTGACAAGTCTCCCTCTATCAATTTTCTTATACAAGAAATTAATGTTCTCTTAATATATATAGATTGATTGATGTGAAAAGCAGAAAGTGGTGGGAAGTAGAGCAAATATCAACCATAGAAGCTAGCCCCGAGTATACGCATTGAACTATAGCGTGGAAAATGCAAATCATAGCCAGTAGACACGTGACTTTGAAAGAAAACTTGGACCAATTGACGGAAGATAGAATAGGATAATATCAGAGTTTGAGAACTATTATTTCTTGTTGATGAACAAAGCCTTCTCAAATACAAATCAATCTCAAATCTATAACCCCAAAATTTTCCTTCTCATAATTCATCATGTCATTGTTACCTTCAACTTTATCATGTATTTCTAGAAAGAAATACGATGTTTTCTTGAGTTTTAGAGGTGAAGATACCCGCAAAAACTTCACAGATCATCTCTATGATGCTCTAAATCGAAGTGGAATTATCACTTTCAGGGATGATCCAAAGATGGATGCCGGTGAAGAGATCGCACCACAACTCTTCCGAGCCATTCAACAATCGTGGTGCTCGGTAATTGTTTTTTCAGGAACCTATGCCTTTTCAAGTTGGTGCTTGGAGGAGCTTGCTGAGATTGTTAAACAAAAAAACGAGAAAGGACATAAAGTGTTTCCAATTTTCTACGACGTGAATCCATCTGATTTAAGAAAACAGAAAGAAAAAGTTGAAGAAGCATTTGCCAAACATGCAGAGAGATACAAGGAAGATAAAGAAAAGATTCTAAGGTGGCGAAATGCTTTGACTCAAGTGGCTAACATCAAAGGATGGCATTTAAATAACAGGTAAACCATTCTTTTCTTTCCTGTTTTCTAGTTTAATTAATTTAATAATTATAAAAATGAACTGAATTTTATTTCTTTGTAGGCATGAATCAGAGTTTATCGGAGATATTGTTAGAAAAATATCAGCAAAATTATATCAGACATATCCAATTGTTCATGATGAGTTGGTTGGAATTAGTTCACGCTTGGACGAGTTGCATTCCAAAATAGAGATTGGGGAAGATGACATCCGCATCGTAGGAATTTGCGGAATGGGTGGCATCGGTAAAACAACTCTCGCAAGAGTTTTTTACGACCAAATGTCATCTCATTTTGAAGGTAAATGCTTCATTGCTGACGTTCGAGAAGTTTCAGACAAATTTGGACTCGTTTCTCTACAAAAACAACTTCTTTTCCAGATCTTGTCTGGTGAAGTCTTCGAATTTTTCAATGTTCATGAAGGGAATGCCATAATTAGCCGCAGATTATCTAACAAAAAGGTCCTTGTTGTGATTGATGATGTGGATAATTTACAGCACTTGAAATGCTTGGTTGGAAGGCATGATTGGTTCGGTTTAGGGAGTAGAATCATTATAATAACAAGAGATGAACACTTGCTCCAATCTTACCGAGTTGATGATGTGTATAAGCCTTCAACATTGAATGACAGCGAGGCACTTCAACTTTTCAGTTTGAAAGCTTTTGATAGTGAGACAGCACCAAATGATGATTTCATTGAGCTTTCTGAACATGTTGCAAAATATGCCAGTGGTCTCCCCTTAGCTCTGGAAGTCTTGGGTTCTTTTTTGTGCGGTAGAGATGTAGCTCAATGGAGAAGTGCAATCCAAAGACTTGAAAAGGATTCTAACAAAGAGATTATTGACAGACTTCTAATTAGCTTTGATGGATTGGAAGAAACAGAGAAGAACATATTTCTAGATATAGCATGCTTCTTCAATGGGGACGAGAAAGATTTTGTAATGAAAGTATTGGATGGCTGTGAGTTTTTCCCGGATATCGGAATCGATGTTCTCATTAAGAAATCTCTACTAACAGTTGACGAAAACAACAAATTGTGGATGCATAACTTACTACAAGAAATGGGAAGAAGAATTGTTCGGGAAAAATCTATTGAGGAGCCTGGAAAACGTTGTAGATTGTGGGAGGAAAATGATGTATATCATGTGCTAACGAAGAACACTGTGAGTCATTCCAGGGAAAATGATGTATAACATGTTAACAATGTATTTTTTCACAAGTTTTATCACAGAAATTGCCTCATTTTATTTTGTGTTTCTTATATCTTACTTTTGAATGTTTTTAGGCTACGGAAGTGATTCAAGGCATGATCATTGACAATAAAAGGTAGAAAAACATACATAAACATGCATCCATGTGTAAATTTCATATTTGGTCAAAAGTAACCCTTAAAGTTTTATTATATCACTCCGTTCCTCGTTGAGTTATACTCTCTTTCTTATTTTACTCACTGTACTTTTAGTTTTCTAATATATTTAGAAAATCCTTGAAGAATCATCTCTATGTTTCTATTCGGATGTGTGGGATACGACGGAGCATAGATAAATTAAGTGTTGGAGCAGCCTTGCTTTTAGGTATGGAATGCTTTGGGATATTTTCAAATTTGAACTGAGTTTTCGTTGTTTTACCCTTGGTTATCAGGATATCCAACAAGATGCTCAATTTGAATGTTAATGCTGTCTCGAAAATGAAAAAATTGAGATTGCTCAAAGTCCTTTGCCTCTCAAATTGTGACTTCCTAATGAGTTACGGCTCTTGGATTGGATGGGATATCCTTTAAGGTTCTTACCTCCAAGCTTCCAACCAGACAACCTGGTTGCACTTCTGCTACAATACAGTCGAATTGAACAACTATGGAGGGGAAATATAGTAAGAACTAATTCATATGATCATTGTTTTTTAACTTATTTTAGGAATATTAACTAAATCTTCTCTAATTTATTATTATTTTCAGCAGCCCCTGTATAAGTTGAAAGTGCTCAACCTCAAAGGGTCCGACAACCTGATCAAGACACCGGACTTTACAACAGCCCCAAATCTGGAAATTTTGATATTGGAAGGTTGTTCAAGAATAGTATATCTTCATCCATCAGTCGGAGTTCTTTCGAGACTTAAACTTCTGAATTTAAGAAGCTGCACAAGTCTTAGGAATCTTCCAACCAAAATTGGATTAAAATTTCTTGAAATATTAATCCTAAAAGATTGTAGAAACCTTATTAGACTCCCAAGCAGCATAGGTGGGTGTAAATGTCTAAAAACTCTTGATCTTTCAGGTTGCTATAAAGTTGCAAATTTGCCGGAGAATTTGCAGGAAGTAGAGTTGTTGGAAGAGCTTGACTTAAGTGAAACAGCCATAGCAAAACTGCCATCCTTCATTTTTCAACTTAAAAATCTTAAAGTTTTGTCTTCGAATAGGCTCAAGACACCATCATCTAAGTTAGCACCAAATCTACCTTCTCTTTTCCAGGTATTCCAAAGAGGACGGATGGAGTCTGTGCCTCTTATTTTACATTCGTTGTCAGGTTTGATTTCATTAAGAGAGCTGAAACTAAGGAACTGCAATCTTCGTGATGGAGATATTCCTAGTGATATTTCTTGTTTACACTATTTGGAAAAGCTTGAGCTTGGTGGTAACAATTTCATCAGCGTACCTGTGCTTGGTACTGGACTTTCCATGCTTCAATATTTTGGAATGTCAAATTGCAGGGAGCTTAAATTGTTACCTAACCCTCGTGCTTCTCGAGAACTATTTGCAGCTCTACCAAAGGTTTGCAATGCAGTGGATTGGACACGGTCTTCTGGCCTTCACTGCTACAAATTATTTGAGAATATCAATACATTAACATGGCTGAAATTCTATTTTAAGGTCGATTTATCATCCTTTGTATTTACAAAATCTCATTCTTGAAGAATTACAGTATTAGTTACCAAACAACATTTTATTTTGCAGGTAGTTGCATGTTTAAGAAAAAGTCTTGATGTTGTTACGCCCGGAGGTGAAATCCCAAAATGGTTCAGCCAGCAAACAGTTGGCTCTTCAATCAAGATACCACTGCCTAACAATATTCAGAATGATAGTCAATGGATGGGAGTTGCTTTCTGCTGCATTTTTGTCAATGATGATGCTTCAAGGGATGAGGAACTCACATGTGATGCTGTTATCCATCATAGGAATTCTGGACAAGCTGATTCTGATGGATCTGGTTTTCGGGGTAGAAATCCTCGACGTGTCTCAGGGGGCGGCTGGATTTTTTCTAAAGAAGATAACCAGCCCATAATAAAGGACCACCTTTATTGTTGTTTTTTGTTCCATGGCAGATTATATCCATTTTCCTTAGAGGATAAATGTGGTGAAAGTGAAACTGAGAATTCATCAACATTGGATTGCTCAAATCAAGAATTCGATGAACTCCAGTTTTCAGTCACATCCGATGATAGTCACATAAGTGTTAAGGTGAAGAAATGTGGGCTTCGAATAGTTTATCAGAAAGATTTGGAAGATATCAATTAAGATTCCGCCGAAGATTGATCAAGAGCTGAAGGTCCCCTTATAAAGTGAAGACATAATGTTTATGAAGAGACCGAGGCCGAGCCACGACCAAAAAGGATACACAAGTTTTTCAATTTATGATGGGCCGACCAGGGAAGAAGGATTAGTTACTATTTGATTTTATTAAAGACTCACCGGCTGAAGATGAGGACAACACATTAAAGACTCCCTCTGAGAAAAGAAAAATGGAGAAGCAGAGGAAGACTGAACGAGCTAAGAAAGTACATCAGCTTGATTTGATTGGTTTTGGTAACATCTCTTTGAAGATTTCATTCTAATGTGGCTTACTATTTGAGGTGGCAGAGGTTGAAAATGCGGATCTTCGAAAGGCACTGTTGAAAATAGCTATTTGATCTGCCTTCACAAACAAAAGAGCTCTATGTTTCTAACAAGCCTTTCGTGGCTATTCGGGGGTTGCAATTGGATTATTACATGTATGGTTAAATGGTCGATTGTGTGTCTTATCACTGCATCGTGATGAAGGGAAACAAGGTACGATACATTTGCAAGGTTCCAGAAAAGCTTGTAGATGACCAAAATGGCTTGTTCATGTTAATTCATTTATTGCAAGGTAAGTTCGATTGCACCACAAAAGAAAGAGGGTGAAATAGTTTTATGATGTTTGGAGCGTTATCATCCTTATATTTGCCAATGTTTCTTCCAAGTAAAACACCAAAATCGTTGGCACCAACAGCATGTTGATAGTAGTTTACACTGCTTTCGTGACACTTGGTGCCTTCGTCTCTGGTCTTGCCAATGTCATCTTCAAAGCTACAATGTTTGGAGCCTATGTGTTCTTTCCCGAGAAACTAAATTTCGTTTTATATAAACTCTTGCAGGCTTCATCAAATACAAGTATTCTTGATTCCGACACCATTCGCCCTAGTCCTTGTGGCAGCAGGTGCAACTGAAGTCATGGCTTCAACCAGAATCATGGACATCATTAAACTGGCAAGTTTCCACGGTCGCCGTTGTTGCTGTTTTCTTGTAATTTGCTTTGCTCAAATCTCATTTGCATCCTCACTCCCGACGTCCAATTAGTATTATAATCTACCATTAACCTTCAAACTCTATAATTGTAAGTGCACCAGAGGAGGACGTTGCTAGTTGTAATTTACTTGAACATGTAATAGGTAGGAACCTAAAGGGTTGAATCCATTGCAAGTGTATTCTCTATCTCGGAAGAATAAATTGTACGAATCAGATTTTTTTTAATGAAAATTAGAAAAGAAACAAAGCCTAGGAACGCCTAAACTATTGTTCCATCCAACACTGAACACTCTCCTATGGCTTTCGTGAAACCACCAATCCATTCCCTAGCAGCGTCACGAATAACTCCACCACAAGTTGTTAGACATGAAATAGGTATCTAAGCACCATCTGTATTGATCTTAAATCAACCTGGTGGCGGAGGACCCCAACAAACTGCTCGGTCCATCCTATTTGGACCATTTACCGACGTTAAGAGTAAGTCCCGAGCATGACCAGCCTCCACTACTAAGCGACGACTACGCTGCGAAATACTCTCCATCTCTAAAGATTCCAGTGCAAAAATAGAATGGTTTCGTCTCGTCCAAATGCTCCACAGAATGGACCCAAATAGCACATCCCAATCATCCGAGTTCAAAGGAAAATAATCTTGGCGCTGAAGGTTCACTTGAATCCAGTCCACGATGTTCATGCCGAAGAATTCAACAAGCCGGCCTGGTTTGATTAATTCCTGCCAAGCAGTATGCGCCACAATATACACTCTAAAAACGAGTAAACAATTCCTTTGCTGCACCACAGTAGAGGCAGCTTTCATCATTTGTCATGTGTCTTCACATCCGTTCTTCATTTGTCACAATCCGACCCTTACAAATTAACCAAAGAAGGAGACGCACTCTTGGTAATCCCTGGAATTTTGCAATCATTTTCCAAAGTTGATTCCCAGAAGTTCTGATTATTTCCATCCGACAATTGTAGGCGCTAGAGATAGAGAACTGACGAGTATTTCCCAAAATCCACCCTGGTTTCCAAAATTCACCAAGCAGCAAGTAGCAGTCTTATCAATATGAAGGCAATATATATATATATACACAATCAATAACTATCTCCAGTTGTTTTCTTCATCCAACTGGAGATGTTTTAGCAGCGAGAAGAATGAGAGCTCGCCAGTGGTAACTTGTCCGTAGCTTCTTGTACTTCTGCACAAAGGCCCCAATATCTATTTCCCCGTAAAGAAGTTGCCTGTTCACTATTTACGATTCCTCTTCTGTTGCATTCATTGCATCTACAAGGAAGTAAAACCATCTTTAAGTACTCGCATCTAAACCCATTAGCGTAGGTAATATACTATTAATATGTACCTTGAAGCCTATGCATAACGATGCAGGGGAGTACAACTTCAGAGTTTCTTCTTTCTGTCTTTCGAGCTCGTTTAGTTTTTCCTTAGCTGCCGCCAAGTGGTTCAGAAAATCTCACCTGGTTCCTTAGCTCCATTATTTGTGGTTCTTTATCTAAATTGTTCCCTGTTTATTGAAAACATATAAATGTGAAGTTGTCTCCCTATGCACATTTCTATATCTGTGAAATTTATAGCATTATCATAATACTAAATGGAATAAGAACTCACTAGCAAGCTGCATAGTTTCCTTGTGAAGTTCATCTCTTATCTGGAAAAAAAGTTAATTCCGAACGAGTAAGAAACCGAAAAAAACAATGAGATTCGGAGTAACAACGAACATGATTTTCTCGCCGCACGCATGCCAGTTCGAATAAATGGATCTAAAACATAGATAAAGTGCAACCCCATCATGATGCCAACAAGGAACAGAAAATATAACATAAAGCAAGGTCACGAAATAGCGAAGATCCATGCTCGGATCGAAAAGCAAACCTAAACAAAAGAAATAACGGAAAACCTAAAATATCTGGCCAATCGAAATTAACAGGCTAAACACTATAGGTTTGATCCTATATAAGTTTAAATATAAGATTATCCCGGAGGTCAATATGACCACGGGATCATCTTCAAGTCAGTATTTCGAGGTAAGTATTCCTTTCCATGTCTATTAAACAGGAACATAATCCATTGAATTACAAAACATCAGAACCTTATTAACCTTATTAAATAATAACTTATCTTCATAGTCAGCATTTGGACACATGAAATGACAACAGCAGCACATGAAAATTGAAAACTAGCAATATGAATCAACAATCTGAATAGCTACTATCCTAAAGATTTTGATATCGGGGTCGGTTAATCAATACCCCTTGTTATGCTATGGCCTAAAAGCTAAACCAATACTCTTCGATACCGAAGAAGTGAACTAGCTTCGAGAACAGAACACATGGTCGGTCATGCAAATGAGTTAATATTTGCAATTTGAGTGACTATTTAAAATAAAATCTTGAACGTCAATTTATCCACCAAGTATGAATCGGATCGAATTCAAACGTTGAACTCTCAAAATCCTTCTTCGATCAATTAATATCCATTTTTAACTTCTCAGAGAAAATAAGGGTATTACAAGTTAGGAGTATTGTAAGCAATTGGGATATTAAAAATTTGATGAGTAGTTTAGAATCATAATTTGAAGGCTCGTGATACAAATAACTCAGTTTAGAAAGATTATCGTTAGTAAATAAGGTAATTTTTTCTTCTATAATAGAATAATGGTTTTTTATTCTAAACTATAATAGAATATTGGTATACATTAATCACATCCCATGCTAATAAAATTAATTTCATATTTGGATGAATTTGGGAATGAAATTAGAAGATCTAAAAGTTTGAGGACCAGTTTAGAATGATGGTCATAATTTGTGGATGACATTCCTAATGCTTACTAGCCTGTTGAAGGCCTAGTTCCAGTTTGCTTCCATGCGGTTGTCTCTGATTTTCCTCCTCTGATCTCTTCTATGCAGTTTGAATTTTCGTTCCTCCACTTTACAGTAGAGCGATTTTAGTTCCAACATGAGAGCCAAGAATATTCTAAACAATTGGAATATTTAAAAATTTGATGACTAATTTAGAATGAGAATCATAATTTAAAGATTAAATTGAAGTATTTAAAAATTAAAAATCAATTTAAACCGAGAATTATAATTTGAAGACGCGTGATACAAATAATTCAATTTAGAAAGATTATCGTTAATAAATAAGGTAAGTTTTTTCTTCTATAATAAGATAATGATTTTTTATTCTAAACTATGTTCGAGGATTGTTTCAATCATTTAACTTTTAAAAGTTATGAAAGAGATATTAAATTCGTTAAATCATTACTAAATGATCACTATAAAATTATAATAAGTGTAAATTTTCGATATTTCATAATAATTTAATAAAATTTAATAACTATTTTGAAAGTTAAATAACCCAAAAAGATCATTTACGTATAGTTCAGTGACCTATGATATATTTTACCCAATAATAATGAAATGAAAAGAAATCAAATTCGAAAATCGTAACGCTGCTTTCCACTGGAAACCATTGGCTTTCGTTTTTGAAATTCAGTGAATCATTGCTGAGGTAATAGTTCCGGGAGGAGGATCAATGGCGGTTCCAACGGCGGTGATGTTAACGGCGTCGATGGTTTCGTTGTACGTCGGGGATTTGCATCCCGATATCACTGACGGGACACTCTTCTTCGATGCTTTCAATTCGTTCAAAGGAATATCCTCTGTTCGTGTTTGTAGAGATTCATCCACGGGAAGGTCTCTTTGTTATGGCTATGTTAACTTCAGTTGTCTTGAGGATGGTGCGTAAGATTTGTTTTTTTTTTAAATATTTTTTTCAATATATTCACTGCTTTTCGTTTGATTTCTGTTTCGTGTTTGATCTTTCAATATGTTCTGAGAGTGTTCGACAAAAGTAATTTAAGAAAATTCAGTCTTTTTAACTTTTATGTATGTTCATGTTTCTCTTCTATGATATGACCAGCACATTATGCAATGGAGAAGATGAATCACAGTTC